CAGGGACCCCACTGTCTCTCTCGCGGCACCCCATCGGGGCTCAGCTGGGCTCCCTCCACGTGTGCCAGCCCCCCGCCGCAGTGCCATCCCTGCTGAGCCCCCATACCCCCCAGCTATGACTACCTGAGTGAGGAGGAGGAGCGGGGCAGCGTGGAGAGCAGCACGAGTGAGGATAGCTCCCCCGAGCACCCCTACCTGCCCCTGGTCACTGACGAGGACAGCTGGTACAACAAGTGGCGCAAGATGGAGCAGAAATTTCGCATTGTTTATGCCCAAAAGGTACCAGGAGCTGGGATGGGGCCGGCCGGGTATCAACCCCTGGGATGTTCCAGCCCAGACCCCAGTGGAGCTCCCACAGCCCAGCGGTACCTGCAGCCCTTCGTCCCGCTGCTGCAGTGACCCAGCCCACTCCTTGTCACCCTGGGTGGCCCTGGGGACGTGGGGGGGTCTGGTGGGGACAGTGGGGCACTGCTGACAGTGGCCTCGTGCAGGGGTACCTGGAGGAGCTGGTGCGGCTGCGAGAGTCACAGCTGAAGGACCTGGAGGCGGAGAACAAGCGGCTGAAGCTGCGCCTGGAGGAGGTGATGGTGCAGAACCAGCTGGAGAAGAGGGAGCTGGAGGGCGTCATCCTGGAGCTGCAGGAGCAGCTGTGAGTGGGGACCCGGGGCCCCGCCGCTGCTGCCAGGCCTGGCCGGGCGTGGTGGGTGGGAGGTCCCTGGCGCCTGGGTGCCCCATGGGCTCTGGGTGGGTCCCCAGTGCCCCACTGACTCTGAGGGGCAGGATGAGTGCTGGGTCCCTGGCAGCCCATATGCCCTGTGGTGTGTAACAGGAGGTGGGTTCCCAGTGCCTGGCTGCCCCATACGCCCTGTGGGACACGGTGGGTCTCCAGTGTCCCATATGCCCCACGGGATGAGACGGGTGGCAGGTCCCCAGTACCAGGGGCCCCATATGTGCTGTAAGACATGGAGGGTCCCCATATGCTCCATGGGCCGTGGTAGGTCCCCTGTGCCCTGTACGCCCCATGGGCCGTGTCGCCCGGCAGGTCCCTGGCACTCACGGCCGTGCCGGGTGCTGAGCACCTGCCTTTGCTGCAGGACGGGGCTGATCCCCTGCGAGAACCCGCAGCTGGCCCAGCTCTCCAAGGAGATGGTGACGCCTCTGGTGAACCAGTGGCCCTCGCTGGGGACCCTCAACGGCAACGAGAGCGGCTCAGACAGCAAGCTCTACAGGAGGTAATGCCCCCGGCGGGGGCAGAGC